GGGAACCTGGGTGGGCTCGCTTGGGGGAACCTAGGTATTTGAGGAAGACGGGGAACCACTTGAACGGGCAACAGATTTGGCCTGCTCCTGGAGTTGGGTGACCCTGTTCTTTGGCCCCGAGGTAGAAGCATTCTCGGGCTTCAACTTTAAGAGACACTCGGAAAGGGACGTCATCCAACTTGCAATAAAAAAGAAACTGTCAGTCATGAGATAAAACAAAGACAAATATCACGAGCATATCCCCGCTCGAATGGCAGGCATGAAAATAAGGCCGAGACCATATCCCTTACCTAAAAGCCTCATGGCTTCCTCGTCTGAAGAACATTCGAGCGAAGCCTTTGTATTGATAAACCTTTTAACAAGGAAATACTCCCCGTCATTGTCGAAGAGGAGGTTGTTGTTCACGTCTACACACCATGTTGGGGAGAAACTTTTCACATAGGACGCCAGCTTCTCATAGGAGATTTGGTCCTGCGCGTCCAAATCCTCAAGTTTTACTACATAATATTCGAGCCTTTGCTCGAAGTGTTTCCACTGCCATTCGCGTTCATTAGAGGCTTCACGACGAAGTACCTCTCTTTGAAGTGGTAGACAAATTCTGAGTATGGCCGAAACAGTTTCCCAAACTGTTTGAAGGACACCCACGCTTACCCTCATCCAATGAATTGCCTTTGCAAGTGGAAGATACGAAAGAAGAGGGGAGGCGTAGCGCCTATTTACAGATACTGGCAGACGAGCTCGAACGCCCGCATGAATGCCAGCATGTTTAGGTGAAGTTGAGAGGGCGCCAATTAAAGTCATTAGAAATCCCCCACTTGAAAGGCAGTGAAGGGAAAACGCATCCCTGCCTCTTTAAACGCAAACTCGTACATGGGAAAACGTTTGCCCGGATATGCCGAGCAGATCCTCTGGTTACGATGAGGAATTTGGAGAATCCAGTTGGCAGGGTCCCCCTCGGCTCGAACCTCCGGACAGTTGAACGCGTCCGTTGTGTCGTGCAAAAAACACGACCTTTTATTTCTAGGCTCTGGGGCGACCCAGGCCAAAGGGTCTTCCTCGATGTTGATTTCATCTTTGTGGTGGACGGGCAAGACATCCTCCCCGACCAAATGTGCCATTATACCTGAAAAGTAGGGGAAAACAATGAATTCGACATCATCAAATTCACCCTTCCAACGCAAATTAAGTGAAAGGGCGAGGAAGCCGTCGAGGAACGGACTTTGGCCTAAGCCCTCGACCGCACACTAAAACCAACCACGCTTCTATTGGGGATATCTAGTCAAACGGGCAAGGGGCTCGAATCAATCCCCACTAACCGGGGATTATGACCCCGACATCATGAAGTTCATCTACCTATTATGAACTTCAACGGGAATTCATGGATGTTTATCGCAGAACCCATGAATGTTTATCCAAGATTCTTCCAATCAGGGCAAAAACCATGCGTTTAATCTAATAATTCTAAAGGAAACATGTTGTTAGAAGAATATAACTTACTTGAATAAAGATGCTTTAAATAACTTTGAGAAGAAGTTGAGAAGAGAGGATTCACGCGCGGGCAAGGGAAGTTGCAGAAAACTTGAGAAATAATAAATGAAACCCCGGGGTCCCCCTTTTATAGGTGGTTCACACCCCACAAGGTTTATCACGAAAAGTCATCATTGGATTGAGCCACTTGGACTCCCCATGAAAAGATAACACCCTAACGCAACAACCACGTGGCCCAACAATCAGCCACATATCCATTCTCAAGAGACGAACATCTCCCCGACTTCAACACGAAACGTCGTACACAAGCACAATACAAACACTTCACATGGAGAAATGCTCGACACCATGACAAACATGCATACAGGCATAGTTGTCGTGATCCACCTCGGGGGAGAAATAACGCTCGACATCGCAACAACCCCTTGAGGGCGGGCACGTCGAAAAAGAGTTCATGGAAGCTCCCCGTAGCCTATATACTCCCGTAAGACACTGGACAAATAACTTACCCAGTCAGTCTCATAACTCACTCATCCACGAGATCCCCGACACGGTCAAACAGGTTATCCCGACACGGGCAACAACTCATTTCCGTTAGAGGACTTCGACCTCCCTTCTCGAGCAAATTCTCCCTGACCATAAAGTTGAACTTAAGTCATCACCCTTTCATCTAAGGGCAATAACTTGGGGGCTCCTGATTTGGACTGGGCCCATACTTGCCCTACTGTTAGGGAGGCCCAATCCAACACCTTTGCACAAGGCCCAAAAGAAAACAACCCAAGTTGGGCACCGTTGGGCAACTCCCCATGTATCCGTTGAGGAACGTGACCCACGTACCCTTATCTATGAGAATACCAGGTCCAACTCCTGTTTTTTCGGGGCAACCAACCAGGGAGGAGGCCACGTGTTGGCCTCCATACACACGTAAGCCCTGACAGTCTTCTTTATTAAGCCTCAATCGTGGCCCAACATTGGAGACTTTGGCACAATGCTGGGGGCTATAAATACCCTATCTGTTGAGTGGGTCAGGTATTCATTCTTTCACACTCATACTCACACTTGCTTGTACTCTCTCTGAAACTTACTTTGACATCAGAGTGTCTTGCAGGTATCCCCCATCTCGCTTTCAACCTCAGCTCGACATAAGACCTTGACGATTTATTCTGGTCCGGTACGATCAATTTTAAACAAACAAATATTAAATGGCATAAGAAACTCATCTTATTACTGATTTAACCCGACTAACACCAAGTCACATATGATCATTATTTGTTCATCAAACATACACTCAATCCTTCACATTACAACTAGTATATGTATATGATATGATACTAGCCGATAATCCCTTCTTTGAATTTAATAACATCAAATTTATCCTTCATAATTTCTTTAAGATCAATAATTTGGCTCAACTTAAATACTTCCTTTATATTGAAGTTGTCTATTTTAAACAAGTAATTGAAATTGTTAAAGAAATTACTTCCTTAGTCTTATTTTAAACACAAATTTTCTTAGGATTTAAACATGTATGCATATCATGACTGTGGTGCTCCATTTCCAGCCATAAAAAACTTGTAAGAAGATTATTGTACTTCACTATAACAAGATTGCATTTTTTCACTAAATTCTTGCTTCCTTAACCATTTAACATCCTATTATCCAAATTAAAAATAAATATATATCAATTACTAAACTTGAGTGGCTAATACATAGCAAGAATCGGGGGTGTTCGTAATGCAGTCTAGATGATTTTGATGTAAAATTTCATCTGAACTGTAAAAAAAAATGTGGTTCACTTTGATTCGATTGACTTTTAGAAATAAAACTGAATCAAATCAAATCAAATCAAACCAAACCAATGCAGTTTGAGTTGGTTCAACTTTTTACAAAAAGATATATTATTGAATCATACATATACATATAGATGACACATACTTTTGTATTTAGTCATTTATATGTTATGAAATATCAACAAAATTCATCATATTTAGACAACAACTTTCCATTTAATATATAAAAATAAGAATAAAGAAAAAAAAAACATAAAATAGTAGCATAAAACAATATGAAAAATATTATAATAAAACAGAAAAAATATAGTAGATAAAAGATTAAATAAGATGAGAAAAAAAGCAAAAAAGATGAGAGATTAAAGACGAAGAGGTGCATTAAAAACGTAATTGATAAAGATAATCAATAGAATAAACATATAAATATGGAAAAGAAATAGCATAAAAGATGAGAGATTAGAGAAAGCAAAATGTACATGGAAAAAATATGAGAAAATAGCGCGATATTGTTAGAAGAGATTTGAGAATATTTATATTGAAATCTTAAATTTAAAAAAGAGAAAATCATTCGCACGTAAAACTAAGACATAATAGAAATGAGTTTGAATTGAATATGAATTAAGTGATATTTGAATAATAAATATAATCTAATTTAATTCGGTTTATAAAATACAAACAACAAACTAAACTCAATCGCACAATTTTATTAAAAAATAATTTAAATACATTCGAAATAAATATAATTTTTTTCAATTTCAATTTATTTTAATCCTATTAATGATTTTCTATCGGACAGTGCATCTCTCTGATTATATATTGTAATAGTTATACTCTTTATGATTAATGGAACATTCTTTTTTATTCCACATTCTTTCTCATAACACCTATGGTACTAAAAAAACATATTCTAATCCATGCATGAAGAAAAAAAAAATGCAAACATTCAACTCAAATATTCAAAATTTAATTCAGAAAATCAATTCATTTTCATATTTAGCAGAAGATCAACGCCCAACTAACTAGTATACAACAATCGTATTAAATTATCTTATTACCTGACCCTACAGTACTTATAACGCCGACATGAAATAAAAATCAAACTTTACCTACCTTTTCAATAAATACAAACATTTTTTCAATTTGACTTAGTTTCCTTCTAATCCTTTTTCCTTAGTTTTTAAGTTTTCAATTAAATATACTAAATTTTTTTTATAATAATATCAAAATTACTTTATTGGTCCAATTTTATTTATAATGATCACAATTAAACATATATCATTAATATAAAATATCACTCTGCCCAAGGGAAAAACACAAAACCATTAACAACGCCCATAATTTTCATTCATTAAAAAGGATAAATCTCTTATTAATTAAACTTTTATTTTTCTATATAAATATTTTTGAGTGTTTCAGTTTCAGTTTCAGTTTCAGACCAAAACGGTGCGTTTGACTACTCCGTCGTCGTTTTAACTTTCTTCTACCCGATCTAGCAGCGATCATCTTCTCCGGCAAGTCGGCGGCGCCCGAGTCAACATACTCCGGCGGAGAAAAGCAAACTTTGACTCGAACAATTCACTGAGTTGAATCGCGATTTCGACAACACTACAAACCAAAACGCGTTCTTTCTCTCACCAATTTCCTTAAAAACCCCAAAAATCTTGTCTTTTTTTCATTTCTTCATTTCTGTTAGTTTTTGTTTTTCACTATACGAAAAAGGTGATGGTGAATTCAGAGTTTAAGAAAAAGAAGGGTTTTGGAGCAAAATGGGTTTGGGTTGTTGTTCCTCTTATTGCTGCCATTGTTGCAATTGCGGTTTCTTCCAGAAATTCTTCCAAAGTTTCTCTTGTTAGAGTCATTGGGAAAGCGTGTCAGTGTGCTCGGGTATTCATTTTCACTTCACTCTTCAGATCCATGCATACATGTTGTTCTTGTGTTTAGGGTTTAAAATTGAATTCTGGAACCTGGAATCGTTAATCTCAATGCATTTGTGTAGTTTATGATGTTTTATTTTTTAGCAGATTCAAATTTGCTGTAAATTTTGCATTTTTTTTAAATCTTGCATTTCAACTTGAATTGAGGAATCTGGAATTCTTAATCTCAATGCATTTGTGTAGTTTATGATGTTTTATAACAATGCTAGCGCTCTAGAGTATCGTATAGTATAGTGGAATCTAAACGAATTACGATTTGCTGTGATATGTGATTGGTAATACTGGTGTTGTGTGGGTTAGTTTGATGAATTTTGTTTGGGTTACGAGTTATAAGACTTCGTTTTTGTTTTACGTTTGTTGCAGGGTACACCGAAGTATAGTGGTATTGTGGAGGATTGTTGTTGTGATTATGAAACTGTAGACCATCTTAACAAGGAAGTGTTGTACCCATCTCTCCAAGAGCTTGTGAAAACCCCCTTCTTTCGGTATTTTAAGGTTTGCTTGTTGTCGTTTCTTATGTCTACATTTTGTATTGGTGGACATCCTCTTTGATATCGTTGATGGTTATAGTTGAAATCAATTAAAGCATTTTGTTTTAGTGAGACATTTTTATTGTGTTTTCTAGGACTATATTTTTGAAGTTTTTTAATCATCACTGGTATATTCAAATTTTGATTTCATGAACATTTGAGAAATTTGAAAGAACTCTATATTCTAAAGACACTTTAAAGCATTAGAACCGAGTCAATGTGCAATCGTATGTTGGGCAATTGTTTTAGGATGAATGTTAATTTAATTGATATAGTAAGTTTGAACTGTGAATGGTGTTGTGGATTGTGATTACATGTGATCTTTCTTTGACATGTGCTTGCATGTCAATTGTGATATTGTTCAACTATCATATTAAAAATGAATCTCTCTTAATGTAGTAAATGTAAGAATGCTGCCAATTACTGAATTGCTTCTTATTTTCCCCTGTTATCAACCCTCATTTATTCCTTATGCGCTAAAGGTTAATAGATGAAATTGTATGCAGGCCAAGCTATGGTGTGACTGCCCTTTTTGGCCTGATGATGGCATGTGCCGGTTGCGGGACTGTACTGTATGTGAATGCGCAGATAATGAATTCCCGGAGTCATTTAAGAAGCCTAATCGCCTTCCGTTGAATGATCTTGTTTGTCAAGAAGGAAAACCTGAGGCAGCTGTTGACCGTACCTTGGATAGTAAAGCTTTCAAAGGATGGACAGAAATAGACAATCCATGGACTAATGATGATGAGACTGACAATGGTGTGTTACTCTGTCTAACGAGTTCACGTTTGAATGATTTTTGTTTATAGCTGTAGTTTATCATTATCATATTGAAATATTAAGTAGTTTATCTTTTAAAGAGGTAGCAGTAGCACCATGAAATTCACATGCAGTGTAAAATACTTCATACTTCTTATACTGTTATGCAATTAAGTCATTCTAATGGTTGCATTTACAGATGAGATGACATATGTGAATCTTCTACTGAATCCTGAAAGATATACCGGTTTCACTGGTCCATCTGCAAGAAGGATATGGGATGCTGTCTACTCTGAGAACTGCCCCAAATGTAAGTCGTCTTCAGAGAACAACCAAACTTCTATAATAATTTGCAAAAAGAAAAACATGATTTTATTTTAGGTAGATGGATTATACCTTTCATATTATCACATTGGCAGACTAACAAATGTTGCTTTTTTTCAACAATCTAGTATGTAGTTTGTCACTTGTGGAGTGAGTCCTAGTTTGTTCAAATCATTGAAAGATATCTTGTATTTGATTATTCATGAGGAACTGCACTCTATTATATTTATACCTATGTATGTATGTCTCGCCGATTTCAGGAGCATTATGTAATTGATATTGTATAAATTGACATTGTTGACAGATCTGTCGCAAGAATCATGTAAGGAGGAAAAGATTTTGTATAAATTGATATCAGGTCTTCACTCCTCCATATCAGTACATATAGCTTCCGGTTACCTACTTGACGAAGCTACGAATTTGGTAAATCTTGGGTTCCTTTTCTCTGAAGTAGCTAATTTTCTGTTTCAAAAGAATCATTTCCGTTGCTTTTGTGGAATCGATACAGTATTGAATACCTGGTATATAAGCAGCCTGTAGGTTTCTTCTGTTATGTTTTTGATATATGGCTTTGAAGTTATACTTTGTTCAGTTTTCTTTTGGTATAATGGACCTTGTAAAGTTTTTTTTTATGCACTATATGATTTGCTAACATTTTTAACTTAAGAAAATTGTAATAGATACTAACTTCTTACCTTCCTTTTTATTTTCTAGTGGGGCCACAATCTTACATTGATGTATGACCGAGTCATACAATACCCTGATCGTGTCAGAAATTTGTATTTCACTTTCCTCTTTGTCCTGCGAGCAGTGACCAAAGTGAGTATAAATTACCTTGATTTTAATTGACCGATCTAAGTTCTTTTTTTCCTTTAAGAATTTTCATTTATTTATAATAGCATTTTTGATACAATCTACTTATCACTTTAGGCTGCAGATTATCTCGAGCAGGCTGAGTACAATACTGGTAACACTAATGAGGACCTGAAAACAGAATCCTTGGTTAAACAGCTACTTTATAACCCCAAACTTCAATCCGCGTGTCCAGTTCCATTTGATGAAGCTAAGTTGTGGAAAGGCCAAAGTGGACCTGAGCTCAAACAAAAAATTCAACATCAATTCAGAAACATCAGGTATTAACTCAACTAATGGCCTGAGCTCTTGTTTGACGTTTTAAGTGCTTATCTGAACACATTTTTCTCTTTATACTAAAAACAGACACTGTTGTATCAATATACACACCGCTAATGTTCATTTGACTCATTGGCAATGGAATAACTTTTTGTGGTATGCAGCGCATTGATGGATTGTGTAGGATGTGAGAAGTGTCGATTATGGGGAAAGCTTCAGGTTCTTGGTCTTGGAACTGCATTGAAGATTCTCTTTTCTGACGATGGTCAAGAAAACATGGTTCAAACAGTAAGTACATTTTTAGAGTGTTGTTTATCTTCTTCTCTTTTCAAACGTCTTTATTCCTGCTTGAACAATAAACGGAATTGACGTTGCACTTAATGAACGGTCTTTCAGCTACAACTTCAAAGGAATGAAGTAATTGCATTGATGAATCTTCTCAATAGACTATCAGAGTCTGTCAAATTTGTTCACGAAATGGGACCTACCGCGGAAAGACTCACGGAAGGGCATCTTTTTGGCTACACAAAAGCTCTTATTAGCTCCTTGAAAAAAATTTGGTCTAGTATACTTCAAACTTAGAGGTGACAACATTCTCTCTTGTGAGAATTTGTTGCATTTTCTTTTGGTTATTTGTTCACTTGTTTGATATATAGATAGCTGAATGCGGCATTTGGTTTCTGCAGGAAGCAGTTGTTGTGACAGTTAGGTTTTCAATTACTCACATTACTCCAAAGACTAGGCTTAGAAGAAAACTACATCATGGTTTGAAATTTTCCAAGGATGTGAAAGTAATGTAACATGTTTACAATAAAAATAATAAATAATAAAATAATTGAATACAAATATGAAAGTGATAGAAAATTTGTTTTTTGGGTGAAAATCCCACTGATATTGTTGAACTTTCTGTTAACAATTAACAAAAGGAAACCTGAACCTAGGGTTCCCTCCGGCTCACGAAAATGACGCGACCATTATAGTTGTTGGCAAATATATGTTTTCTAAAATTCAACAAAATTTTCTATACTATTTCAAACTAAGCCATTAATTCATAAAAAGATGTATTTTATATTTTAAACTAAACAACTAACACATACTCCTTCTGTCTCATAATAAATGTTTTATTTAAGTTTTGTGTAGTTCTTAAAAAGATGATTGATATGATAATTTTAATAATAAAATTAATATTATTTACTAAAATACCTTTATTTATTGTAGAATAGTGAAATAATTAAAAAATATAAAAGTTAATAAATAGAGATATAATAGTAAAAAAAAATATATATATATATATATATATTATATTGATATTTGAAATAATCATTTATTTTAAAACATAAAAAAAAAAAAGAGATATTTATTATAAAACAAAATAATTTTCTAAGAGCACCAGTCACCTGATAAGTAACAACGTGGTGGTATGTAGGGGTGTTCAAATTCAAACCAATCTAAATAAAAAATCGAAAACCGATCTAAAAAATCGAAAACCATAAAAGATCGAAAGTTATTGGTTGTGTTTGGATGTTATTTTATAAAAATCGATCGGTTCGGATTGGATTTCAGATGAATTTTTCAAAATCAATCCAAACCGAACCGCATAAATATATTTTGATACTTATTTACTTTTTATTAGTATGACATGTTATGTGAATTTATTATTAGATGATAATAATTTTTTTAATAATATTTATTAGTTTGGTATAATCTATTTATTTTTATTATTTCAAACATAATCAATCACTCTTATTTTGTAATATTAACTTTTAATATACTATATGTTATATATTATATCAAATCTATGATTTATTAATAGTTTTATAATATTAATAAAAATATAATGTGTAATTTGGATATTCAAAAACCGATCTAAATTAAACCGCATAAAATTGGATCGGATCAGATTGGATTTTTTTAAATATATCATCAAAAATCGAACCGAATCTTAAGTGAATTAATTTTTGGATTGGATGAATTTTTGTTTTAAAACCAATCCAAAGTGGTATGTAAACAGACATGATAACCCTTCCTATCTTCTATGACTCGATGCCAAGAAGTTCTCAAAGTAACTGCCACAAGAAAACAATAATCTTAGGAGTTTAACTCATCATTAGACAAAATCAAAGACAATAACGTAGAGAGTCCAAGAGAATAATTGTCAACCGATCTAGAACTTAGCAAAGCTAAAATAAGCTGATTTAACCGAAATTAATGATGATAACTTGAAAGATTAAAACGACATATATTCTTAGGCAGAAACTAATAATTTTCTCATACTCCATTGCATTATAGGTAGATGTGGCAAAATTAGATCAATATGAAGGACACGATTGTTTTGTCTGCATTTTAATATGAGACAGGTCAAAAGTTTAAACCTACGCTATCTAATATATTTGTTTCGTTGTCCTGATTTGTTTAAACTTTTATAGACGCGGATATTAACAGTTTTTTTTTGTTTGTATTTTTAATTAAAAATGTGTAGTGTATGTGGTATGTTTCGTCTGACTTTCACTTTTTATAGAATGGATTTAGGTTTTAGATCTGTATTTTCAATTATATTTGTCCTATTAAGTTTCATTATTTTGTGAATTTTTGTAGAACTAGACTAAATGGCATGGACATTTCTATTTGTTACCCCTAGTTATAGGAGGTCTTTGTCCTACTCTACCAAAAAGTATCACATGTTATTATTAATGTATAATTAAGTGTGTTTGGATTATCGGTGGACAAACTTGATTTTGACAGAATTGACTTTGGTAGAATTGATTTTAATCGAATTGAGTTTAACATAATTGATTTATGTTTGAATACATTTGTATAAAAGTGAGTTGAACAACAAATTTCAGTGTAAAAATCATATTTAAACTCATAAGATACAAATTCTAACTTCAAATAGAATCAATTTTGGAGGCAGAATCAATTCTACTTTAGAATAATCAAACACATTAAAATCACTCCAAAATCAATTTTACATTTTTAAAATTGTTTTTGCCTCTTTTAAAATTCAAATCAAACATGCTATAAATTTTATGACGAAGGAACTCAACATATTTGAAAAGACAAACAATATAATATTTTGATAAAATCAATCTAAGAGATGAGAATACTTTTATTGTTGTGTAGAGATGAGTCTGTCTTTTCTTTCCTTTTGAGCTCTTTTTCTTATGTTTTTTCTTTAATTTATGAAATTGCTCTTTGACGGATTTAATGGTTAAATATGATTTGACGCTTTGTCATTATTTAGGTTTTTTTTTTGTATTTTGAGTTTTTTTTGTGTGCAAAAACCCTACATTCACACTAGGTTAAAAAGCGATTTTCATGCATATTTTATCAATCTGACTAACGTCAACGTTTATTGAATCGAGTCAAATATGTTGATAAATCGATTCAAGTTGTTTTGTATACATGAATCGAGTCAAGCATGTGTGTGAATAGAGTGATGATGAAATGTGTCATAAAATACTGGTTTCAAGAAACATTACTCGAGCCATACTCCCTTTTGAATCGAGTCAAAGTGAGTTTTTATGAATCACATTTCGATTATGAAAATGTGACTCAATTCTAGCATGACCGTGAATCGATTCATGATTGAGTTTTTCAATTTTGTTTTTCAGCTCTGAAAATGTGACTCAAGTCATGGAATTTTATGATTCATACTCAGGTCATAACTTGGAAAATTCAGTTGTTTTTTCTACTTGATTTGATGCATTGCATGTTGTTGACTCAAATCATTAGATGATTTTTACAATACTTTTGTGTCTTTTCTCAAGCACATATAATAACTTTTAATCTTCATTTTTTCATAAATCCGATCAATATCAAGTGAGTATTTTTTTTATAAAATTCATATTCTCACTAAAAAACAATAAGCTTCATCTTGCGCATGAAGATTGATTCGCCTTATGTATGTAATATTGCTTGTGTGAGGAATTCATTAGATACGAGTTGCTCAAAATCCTCCTTTGTAGCAAAATATGTGTCTATTTCCCACTTGTAATCTTTCAGTCTTCTTGAAATCTTGAAGGTTTGAAAATCAAACTTTATAATATTTTCATCCTCACTGTCATATTATCCAGGAATCTCATCACTGTCATATTCTTCAATGTCATTCAATCCTTTCAAATTCTCATTTGGTGCATCCTTTATATTCTCATCATCAAACAAACAACTATTTTCTTCAGCCTGAGTACATTGTTTACTTGGTATCCCTACTTTCACTTTGCCTTTCTGTTTACCTCTGGTTTCGGTAAACAACGTTGGTCTCATAACAAAAGTTTACTGACGAGATCGACCAGGGAATCTCAGTACAATGCTTCAGTTTTCGAGTATTTTCACAAAGTGTGTTGAAAAGGGATTTGTTCGACTGGTGCCAAACGAGTTTATAAGAAATAAAGCAAGACTTGTAGAATAAAACGAAAATCATTTTAAACTGTAAACATAAATGACATAACATCAAAATAGTTGAAAATAAGTTGATTCAAACATACATTTCCCTAGCTTGACTCATTTCGCTCGTTCGTTTGAGTACTCTGAGTGACCATCATATATGAATGTGAAAGTTTGAACCTCTAATACTATGCATTAAGTGTTTTATTTATAATATACAAAAAATAACTACTTTCTAACGGATTTCGCTTCTTTGTACGCCACATGTATCTTGTAACTCCTCTCCATGATCCCACGTTCTCCATCCGTACTCTCGAACTCATGTTCTCCATGTTTTCCTCCAAAATGCTTCGCTCGTTTGATGGATCTTTTGGGCTTTTTAACGTTTCTAGGCCCAATGACTTATGAGGTTTTCCCTGGTCGAGTGCTTCTATTTCCAGGTTCAATCACTTACTTATAGAATCTCTCTAGGTCGATTGCATCAATATTAGAATCACATAAATCACCTTTTCCAAAGAACCTTTTTTATCCTTTTCTTTTGGTTGGGTTTTGGTCCTTGTCGAAAATCCCAACCAACATATTTCCCCCCAAAATGTCCTTTTCGATTGAAAAGGGTAGAAATGGACATTTTAATCCTTCTTACTTAGTACGAACTGACATTATCGTAATCATGACTTTTCTCTCAAACGCCACGTCTGCAAACAAACGACTACTATCCTACTTTTTAGCTTCAACTTCCTAGGATAAACGTGGGCTCCAACTCAACAACCTCTTCAATCAATCGCCACCTGCTTGACACGTGCTGGTCGTGTAGCCATATCTTTCCCATTTTCTTCCCAAAATTTTACTTTTATTGATGGTATAAATACCCTTCTCATCTCTTCAATTTCCTTTTTTACGCTCTTCTTGCATTCTCAAACTCCCTGCTTTAATCTCAAAGACAACTTCTTGCTTTCATTTTTTTTCTTCAGAAAAACTTTCAATCATCCTCATGGCCACTTCAATCCAACTTACTAAACATATTCAAACACCTGGTGAAATTGAACTAGTATCCCACATGAATGATTTCTTCGTTGATATCCAAAATACTTTAGTTTTGGAACCAACACCGTCACAAAACCTTCTAACTTTTCATTCTCAAGTGTTGCTCCCTTTCAACTGTAAGAAAACCACTTATGCTCTTTTGGGACCTATTCTTG